TTTGGTCTCTGTGGATGAAATTTAACCACAGCTGATGAAACTTCACTTCTGTAGATGAAATTTAACCACAGTTGAGAAACTTTGGTCGTGGTCGACAAAATTTGGCTCTAGTTGACCAAATTCAACCACAGCTGATGAAAATTTGGTCTCTGCAGACAAAACTGAACTGCAGTTGATGAGATTTTACCACCGTTGTCAGAATTTCCCCATGGTTGACAAAACTGAGCCACAGTTGATGAAATTTCACCTCTGTCCATGAAATTTAACCACAGGTGACAAAATTCAGTCGTGGTTGACAAAATTCTGCCTGTGGTTGACAAAATTTTGCCTGTGGTTGACAGCATTTGCCCACGATTGACAAAATTCAATCACAGTTGTTGAAAATTTGGACCCTGTGGATGAAGTTTAACCACAGCTGATGAAAATTTGGTCCCTGTGGATGAAGTTTAACCACAGCTGATGAAACTTCACTTCTGTAGATGAAATTTAACCACAGCTGATGAAAATTTGGTCTCTGTGGATGAAGTTTAACCTCAGTTTATGAAAATTTGGTCCCTGTGGATGAAATTTAACCACGGTTGATGAAAATCCGGTCACGGTTGACAAAATTTAACCACAGTTGACAAAATTTCACTTCTGTCAGTGAAATTTTCGCACAGTTGAAAGAATTCGGCCACGGTTGACAGAATTCACCCCCAGTTGACAAGATTTAACCACAATGAAAATGAAATTCGGTCGTGGTTGACCAAATTTAACCACAACGAATGGAGTTTCACTTCCGTGGGTGAAATTTAACCACAAAATGTGGCCACGGTTGACAAAATTGAACCGCAGTCGATGGAGTTTCACTTCTGGAGATGAAATTACACCAGAGTTGACAGAATTTTAACCCCAGCTGATGAAAAATTTGGTCACGGTGGACAAAATCTGCCCACAGTTGATGAAATTTCACTTCTCTGGATGAAATCCAACCACAGCTGATTGAATTTGCCCGCAGCTGACAAAAATTTAACCTCAGATGACAAAGTTTCACTTCTGAAGATGAAACCTGACATCAGTTGACAAATCCTCACCGCGTCCAACCAGATTTCCCCTTTTTCCCCCACCGAATTTTGCTGCTCCCAGGAAGAAAAAAGAAGGAGATCCAACCCCAAATCCACCAGATCGCAACCACCCAACGAACCGCCCCCTGGTTGGGGTTGTTTTGTTGTGGTTTTTGGGTTTTTTTTCGTTTTTTTCCAAGCTGTTCAGTGCAAAAAAGGAGCTCTTCCCCCTTTGTTGTGGTTTTTGTTTCTTTTTTTTGGATTTTTCCAAACTTTTCAGTGCAAAACAGGAGCTCTTCCCCCTTTGTTGTGGTTTTTCTTTCTTTTTTTTGGTTTTTTTTCCAAGCTTTTCAGTGCAAAAAAGGAGCTCTTCCCCCTTTGTTGTGATTTTTGGGGTTATTTTTGGGGTTTTCTCCAAGCTTTTCAGTGCAAAAAAGGAGCTCTTCCCCCTTTGTTGTGGTTTTTGTTTCTTTTTCTGCTTTTTCTCCAAGCTTTTCAGTGCAAAAAAGGAGCTCTTCCCCCTTTGTTGTGGTTTTTCTTTCTTTTTCTGCTTTTTTTCCAAACTTTTCAGTACAAACAA